TGCTCTTAACCTCTCTGAACGGAGCCATCTCTCTGACTGCCCCCCCCCCCTTTTAACACGGGTGCTGGGGATCCGACTCCGGTCCCTATGCTTGCATGGCCAGCACTCCAACTGCGCTCTCTCCCTAGCCCTGCCCTGTCCTCTTTCCTCCACCATCCCCTTCTCCATCCCTCCACGCTTAGTGCTAGGACTCCTTGCGTTTCCTGAATCCCTCTGTTCACCCACAGCTGTCTGTCCTGCACTGACGAGGACGAGATGTGGGACTGGACCACAAGCATTCTTAAAGCGCAGGTGAGGAGAAGGAAGAGCTGGGCTTCTGGTCCCTCTGGGGACCAGTCGTTACCCCCCCCCCCCCCAGTGCCTCCCAGGTCGACTCGTGCCGACACCTCACTGTCTCCTCAGCATGATGACCAGCAGTCGGTGGTTTTACGTCGTCGCTCCTCCTCTGACCTGGCTCGTCAGAAGTTTGGCACTATGCCCTTGCTGCCCATCCGAGGGGATGACAGTGGAGCCACCCTTCTCTCGGCCAACCAGACCCTGGTGAGACCCTCCCCCCAGCACGTCCTAAACATCTGATCCCTGCTCTTACCTCTGTCATGGTGCAGGAGGAAACGGCTTGCCTGCGGCGTGCCAGATGCCCACCCACTCACCACGACCCTCTTGTCCACATCCTTTGTGCCCCTCCCTTCCTGCCACCACCTCTGTCGTCTCACTTTGTCTCTGTCTCTCCCTCCCCTCGTCCCCACTCTACCTGTGTCCAGCGGCGGCTACACAACCGGAGGACCTTGTCCATGTTCTTTGTGAGTATCGTGCTCGCTCTAGCTTTGTGTCCGCCAGCCCCTGCCTGTGTTCTGTGCTGCCTCCGCCCTGGCGCGCTCCATGTCTGTGCTGATGCAGGCCATCAGTGTGTGTAATAGAGGAGGACAGTGGGGGGTGATATGATGCAGAAAGGAGAAGGTAATCACGAATCTGAGAAGCAGAAGAAAAAGGGTCGAAGTGAATGCATCCTGGAGCCAGAGAGATCTGAATTCAAGCCTCACCAACTACCATTTCCTTACTGTGTGTTCCAGGGCAACTTAACCCCTCTGCATCTCACTCTCCTGCAGCGTGACCCACTTGCATGGGGTTGTTGTGACATCATATATGCCAAGTATTTTGTAGTGTCTGATTCAAGGAAGAACTTGATCAAGGGTTATTAATACTGTGACTCTAACATTGTGTCCGTCCTCTGCTCTCCCATTCCCATCCAGCCAATGAAGTCATCCCCGGGGTCTGTGGAGGAGCAGGATGAGCTGGGGGAGCCTGTGTATGAAGAGCCAGTGTATGAGGAGGTCGGGGCCTTCCCTGAGCTTACCAAGGTCACGACTGACTTCTCTTCCACATGGGAGTGGACAGCCAAGTCAGAGACACCCCTTGCCAGCCACAGGTCCTTTGATCAATCCCCCCTCTCCAAAGCAAGTGTGTCAGGCCAGGAGGAGAGGATACCTGACTCTTCTTCAGGCCCCCCTTCAAAGAGCAGTCCTCAGGCACGGGGGTCCCTGGAGGAACAGCTGCTCCAGGAGCTCAACAACCTCATTCTGAGGAAGGGAGAGCCTGCTGCATGTCCAGAAAGCCCTTCCCAGCCCACTAGCCCCCAAACCCCCAGCCTTCCAACACAGGCGCCTGGTTTACCCACCCAAACTCCCTGCACTTCAAACCCACCCTCCAGCCAGCCCCTCACATGACGCTAGGGCCAGCAGTTGAGGAGGTAGGTAACCAAAGAAGCCGGGCTCTCACCATGGCAGACATCACTGGGAGCTTCTTCTGCCCTAGATGGATGACTCTGGAATCCAGTATGGTACCATGGAAGGAGCACTGGACTGAGAGCCCTGGAGACTGTGTGTTTCAGGGAAGATTGTGGCCCCTTTCTGGGCCCAGCCCATTTGTCTGGACTATGGAGTCACTAAAATAAGGAGAGGAGCAAACAGCAAACTATGCTTCTGAGCTATAAGCCTTAATATCTTTCCTCAATAAGGGCAGCTCCTGTTTTATATATTTGATAGAGTGGTTCAGCGAGAGGTTTGGGGAATAAGGATGATTGTACTGCATTAAACAAAAGTGTAAGTTTGGAAGCCAGAGATATGCATGATGTCCAAAATTATCTTATTCCACTTTCCATGGACTAGAACTACCCTCAGGCCCTACAGTGGGGTGATTGATGGAGGTTGAGAGCAGGGGCAAAGGGGAGCCAAAAAAGAATGGGTCTCTATTAATAAACTTTGGAACCAAAAGGCTCATTTTTCAACAACATTCATTCATTCAACAAATATGTACTGAGCACTTAATGGTGCCAAGTCCAGTGATACAATATGAACAAAACAAACAGGATCCTTGCTCTCATGGAGCCTGAAGAAAGGAAACAGAAAACACACACACGTGAGTTTAGTACTTCAAAGAAACTAAACTACGTGAGAGCTTGAGAGTGAATGTGATGTGGCCTTTACACTGGGTGGATGGGAGTGAAAGCCTCTGAGGAGCAGAGACAGAGGAGTGCAAGGAGCAGGCAGCAGGCATGAAACCTGAGCAGTGCAGTGGGAGAGGCCTTGCTTGGCCCCGTGGCAGGAGGACAGCAGCTGGAGCCGAGACTGGGGAGTAGGAGAGGCTCACCTTTAATCCCAGCACTCCTGAGCACAGGTGGATCAGAGCTCAAAAGACAGCCTGGTTTACAGAGTGAGTTCCAGGCCGGCCAAGGTTACAAGGCTACATACCGTTTCAAAAAACATTAAAAAAAAAAAAAATCAGGAAAATTTGGAGGACTTGACACAGCAGAGAGAAGCCCTTCATCAGAGCTTCTGGCTAAAACCTTTGCTAGTAACACAGCAAGAGTTCCAGTACAATTAATTGCTTGAGGCCTTTCTCCCTTCCCAGTTATAAACCTGTAATTTTCTAGGAATTTCATTAGAAATCCATCGACAAGCATAGAATATGTAATCAACCCCTTATGCAACTCCCGTGGCTTTGGCTTTTGGCTTCACTGTATAAGAATTCCATCTGTAACCTGTATCTCTCTTATCAAAAGAGATAGAAGGAAAAGAAAAAAAAAAGACTTCTTAGCAATCCTTTAAGATGTAATCTGAGAGCTGGGCATGGTGATGCACACCTCTAATCCTAGCACTTGGGAGGCAGAGGTAGGTGAATCTCTGTGAGTTCGAGGTCAGTCTGGTCTACAAAGTGAGTTCCAGGACAGCCAGGGCTACACAGAGAAGCCCTGTCTGGAAACAAACAAACAAAAAGATGTAATCTGAGAAGCACCAAAAGAATATACATGGCTAGTGCTAAGACAAATTAATTGCTTGCTCTCCCTCGAGGTGCCCATACCCACACACGGGTACAAACATACCTTCCCCTGGGTTCCCTCGGGAACACATACCACCACCTCTCCTACTTGGATGTGTCTTACTTTCTTCTGATTGGATTTTTCTCTTCACTCTTGTGCTTTGACCTATATTAAAATATCTTTAATAAAATTTCCAACTCTGCTTCATGATACCAGCTAGTCTTGAAATGCTTTTCAGTATCAAAGCCACAGATCAGAGTTTGGACTGAGTTGAGATCTCTTAAAAGTCTAGGGGACACGCCTTTTAATCCCAGCACTTTGGAGTCAGAGGCAGGTGGATTGCTGAGTTTGAGGTCAGCCTGGTCTACAAAGCCAGTTCCAGGGCAGCCAAAGCTACACACAAAGCTTCACCCTGTCTCAAAAAACAAAAACAAACAAACAAAGTCTAGGGAAACTCCTCAGGTTACTGTGGGTGACAGAGTGGTGCCTTGCCTCTGTCCTTTCAAGAATGACAAGAGGAGAATGCTTTTGCAGAGGCCCAATCCTCATATCCTTGTAGCCTGTATTCTATTTTGATTTTAGGCATTTGGATTTTCCTTGGAAGCAATTACATTTTAAGCATAAAAGGATGTTATCCTAACTCTCTTTTGAGTCACTGGCCACTGTAGGAACAGTGGGTCATGGGAAGAAGCTGGAAGCAAGGAGCCTGGATGTTAGACCGGAAAACTGATAATTAAGTCTTGGAGTGGGGTGGTGGTCTTGGAATTTGAGGGAAATAGATCACTAGGAATGTTACCCCTCAATCTCCATGGGTGTTCTGCAATAGAACCTGTATCTTACTGATGGAGGGGTTGTGGGGTAAAATAAATTTAGTGCACACTGAGGGGCTAGGGGGATGGATCAGGGGATAAAGGCACCTGCTATGTAAGTGTGAGGACCTGAGTTCAAATCCCTAGAACCCGTAAAAAAAGCTGGACTTGTAGTGCCAGCGTCTGTAATTCTAGTGCTAGTAGAATCCTCCGAAGTTTGTAAGCTGGCTAGTCTGGCATACACAGCAGAAAAACAATAGAGACCCTGTGTCAGGCAAAGTGGAAGGCAAGGATCAACACCCAAGATCCTCTGCTGACCTACGCACGCACGTGTACACACACACACGCCACGATAAAATTGGTAAGTTGGGAACATAAAGATCCAAAATGATGACAGGGTCTTTCCAGGCCACATACCCCTTCACTGATACCATTAGTGCCTACTGTAGCCCAGCATGTACACCCGTCTTTTCCTCTGAACTGGTTTCTGCGGGTTCCGGGCGTAATTCTTATCCCTCTCACGCTAGCATTTCCAGTTCTGCAGGGATTAGGAAAAGGTGTCTCCCTTTGTCAGAGGCATCTTCGCTCAGGTGTCCAGTGACTCAGTTTCCCTGGTCACCTGCACTTAGTGTTGGGACTGGTGATATGCATATGTAAATGAAGGACCAGAAATAATTACAGGCTGAATCAGTGGCTGTATTAGAAACAGAAGCCAGGCGTCTTGACTCAGAAGCTCGAGGTCCTCCCTACCGCCCGGCACACGCTGCGTCCGTCCGGCGGCCGGGACCCTTCCGGGGTACTTGTAGCAATAGCAGGTTCAGTTCCTCTGCTGCCCCTGTGTGCTTCCGCGCCCGCGCAGCTTGACGAGCGTGGGCGGAGCGGGCCAACTCTGGGGCGGGGCCTTATTGTGGGCGGGGCCTCCTCGAGTTCCGGAGTGGACTGTCTGGCAGCCTTTGCTGGATCCGAGATGCAGCCGCCGCCCCGAAAAGTGAGATTTGCCCCGGAAAAGGGGCATTCTTGGAGGTCTTGGGGAGCGGAGGGAGCCTGCGGGCACTCGACTCGGGGTGGAACACAGGGAGTGGCGAGGAGGTCAAAGCCTAACACAGAAGAAACCGAGGAAACAGCCCAGCCTCTCTCGGGCCCCGCCCCCTCACCGCTCCCTGTGAGGTGTTTTGTAGGTCCCCACGCCGGAGTGGAGTATCAGGCTGGGGATCTTCATCTCTTTTTAATCCTACAGGTGAAGCCAGCCCAGGAGGTGAAACTTCGCTTCTTGGAGCAGCTGAGCATCCTTCAGAGCCGGCAACAGAGGGAGGCGGATCTGCTGGAGGATATCAGGTAGCCCCAGACCCCTCACATACTCCATCTTCACAGGAGCGAGCGCCACTCCTTCCTCAGCATACATCTGCCAGGGATGGGCGTTGTCAGGAGGAGCTTTCTGGCCTACCCATTCATGACCCTCACCTTAGGCCTGCCTCTTCAGATATTGGGGCTCTAGTCATAAAGAGAGAGCCCCTTCCTAAACCACTTGACCCCACACCACTCTCCTCACCCCCACAATCAGGCTGAGGGCATAATCCCCTCCCTCTTCCAGACCTGTTGGAAGTCTGGCGGACACCGAATCCTGTCGTTTCTCTCATCTCCAGGCCCACAGATGGTCCTCCAGGGGTGGGAGGGTCCTGCTGGGGCTCTGAGCAGTAAGGTGAGGGTGACCTGTGTTGCCGCTGCCAGAGGTGATCTCAAGGACTCTCATCATTCCCTCTGGATGTAGTCACAGTCTGGGCCGGTTCCCTCTTCCTCCTCCTCAAGGTGAGGAGAGAGGGGATTGAGTGTGGGAGAACAGCAGCAAACAGTAACCTCCCACCCCCATTCTACTCCAATCTCCGCAGATCCTACAGCAAGCAGAGGGCAGCCATTGAACGGGAGTATGGCCAGGTATCGGACTCCTGTCGGGACTTTCCCTCCTGTTCTAGCCTCTTTACACAGGCACCAGTGCCTCCCTCTTACTGTGGTCAAGAGCAGATAACCTAACGGTGTGATGTTTTTATTCGTGAGTTAATTAGAACAAATTGATTTTATATATAAAAAAAACTTTAAAAAGAACAAATATCTAGAATCATCCAGATTTGTGTCAAAACCCTGCTCTCCTGCTTACTTAGCTGTGTGGTCTTGGACACGTTATTTAGTATTTTGGGCCTCAATTGTTTTCTCTGTAAAATGGGAATAGTATTAATAATACCCGAACTCCACAATATGGTTATAGGGATTAAATGAATGAATGGATGTAAGGCATTTCAGAAATGTATATGTTGTATATCCGAAGAACAGTATCACAGACCCTGGTTCCAAACTCTTCCCCGAGTTGGGGTGGGTCTTCATAAAAGATCTTCACTTGTGATGGCTTCCTCACCAGGCACTCCAGAAGCTGGCTGGGCCATTCCTGAAGAGGGAAGGGCAGCGGAGTGGGGAGGTGGACAGCAGGTGAGTCGCACAGGGTTGTGGAGGTGCCGGGGGAGCTCAGCCCCCGAGATCTCTGGAAATGAGGACCTAATGAGCGGGGAAAGGCATGTGAGCGGCAGCAGGTAGAGCTGACACAGCAGCAGGAGAGGAACTGACCCAGCAAGGACACTGTGGGTGGGGGTGGAAGGCATGAGTGATCCTGTGGCTGAGCTAATGGGCTGATCGATTGATGGGCTCCTGGATGGGGGGAGCACTCTTGTCTCTCGTGGGGTTGGGGTTTGGGGGGGGGGGTCTCGTGAACCGGTGGAGTGTTTCTCCCTTCAACATAGACCTTCTCTGGGAAGGGGCAGGACAGTGTTTGGTGCCTGGCGCTGCCTACTGGATGCCACTGTGGCTGGAGGCCAAACCCGGCTCCAGGCATCTGACAGATACCGTGACCTGGCGGGGGGCACTGGGAGGAGTGCCAAGGAGCAGGTGCTTAGGAAGGTATGTCTCAGTGGATGTGGTACAGGAACCTCCAGCTCAGGATTAGACATGGTTTGGAGTCTGTGTATCTTTTGCCGCTAGGGGACAGAGAGTCTCCAGCGGGCACAGGCTGAGGTGCTACAGTCTGTCCGGGAACTGAGCCGAAGTCGGAAGCTTTATGGGCAGCGAGAACGTGTGTGGGCCTTGGCCCAGGAGAAGGCAGCTGATGTCCAGGCCAGGTGGGCTCTTGGATGACCAAGTAGGACACACGAAGTGTAATGCAAGGAGTGTGGGGTGGAATGAAAATTTTAAAGCCGTGCCCGACTCTTGACTATTTTTTGCCTGCGCAGACTGAACCGAAGTGACCATGGGATCTTCCACTCTCGGACCAGCCTCCAGAAACTAAGTACCAAGGTTTGTGGGATAAAGACATATACATATACATATACATATACATATACATATACATATACATAGCATAGTGGTTTGGGGCCCAGTGGTGTAAAAGTAAGCGTGGGTTGATCCTAAGCTTCCAAATTCCCTAGTGGTTCATTGCCAGGCATGCAGTAAGCACTCTGTAATGTGGCTCCTTGGTTTCTCTGATCCTCATTTTCTTCATCTGTATAGTAGAAACAATACCTTTCTTTTTTGTTCCTTATATATATATATGATTTTTTTCTTTTTTTTTTTTTTTTTTTTTTTTTTTTTGGTTTTTCGAGACAGGGTTTCTCTGTGTAGTTTTGGTGCCTGTCCTGGATCTCACTCTGTAGCCCAGGCTGGCCTCGAACTCACAGAGATCCACCTGGCTCTGCCTCCCGAGTGCTGGGATTAAAAGCGTGCGCCGCCACCACTGCAAACACGCTGCACACACCATGTGTACCTCTACATGCTTGGCAATATTCCACCCCTGGGGATACAGTGAGAACAGGACTCGTGGAGTTCCATCCTCACAGCCTGGTTGAGATGAGAGTATGTGAATAATCAGCTGAAGATGCAAATTAAAGTGCTGTGATAAAGGGTGACATTGGGTGTGGTTTAGAAGGGAGACCCCACTGAACAGGAGACCTGAGTGTCGAGGAGGCAGCCATGCTGAGATCTGGGGGAAGAACATTCTGAGGAGAGAGATTGGTGAGTGCAAAAGCTGAGGAGAGAATCACTTTGGCGAAGACACATGCACATGAAAAAGGTCAGAGAGGTTTCAGGGCGGCTCATGTGAGATCTGGTAAACTACAGTAAGGCACAGTTGGCATTTTAAGATACGTACAGAAGCCACGAGAGGGTTTTTAAGCCAGTGTTCTATGTGAGGGTTTTAATGTAGTGCCAGGCATGTAGTAAACAATAATGTGAGATCCATTCTGGTTCTGGGTTTAGGTTGGCCTTGGAAGGACCTCCATCCAGGGTTCAGGGCTCCCTGTTGACTCTTCTTTCCATTTCCCAGCTGTCTGCCCAGTCAGCCCAGTATTCCCAGCAGTTGAGAGCAGCGCGCAATGAGTACCTGCTAAACTTGGTGGCCACCAATGCTCACCTTGCCCACTACTACCAAGAGGAACTGCCAGCCCTGCTCAAGGCCAGTACTCATGCAGATTACTCCTGCCCTTAAGTGAATGCAGACACCATCCCTGTTTCTACTTCTTCCCAGGCTGGCCAGTGCTAGTGCTTAGAGTGAATTAGAAGATGCATATGGGGGTTCTTGATGGCTGTGTCATACAAGACGTCTGACTCCACATTGCTCATCAGAGTTAATCCCAGTCTGCCCACATCATAACACTAATGAGGTTCAAAGGGAATGGATGTGGAAGTTCTTAACTGTGACGGGCTTTAAACATGATGGATTGTGATTAGAAACAGCAATGTCTTATTCCTCGCCCCCTCTTTGCTCTCATGTCCATGCCCCATCTATGGATGGATACTCTGCACTAGAGGCCTGGGAGAATGGTTGTATTATGGTACCTTGGGGTTCTCTGCAGGTCCTGGTAAGTGAGCTGTCAGAATACTTGAGGGACCCTCTCACGTTATTAAGCCACACGGAGTTGGAAGCTGCAGAGATGGTCCTGGAACATGCCCACCATGGGGGGCAGGCAACTTCTCAGGTGAGTGCTGGAGCTGTGAGTGTTCCCTAATGATGCTTTATGCTCTTTTTTTTTTTTTCATATACAGCCCCTCCCCCACCCAATGCAACTCTCACCTTCCTTTCTTCCAGGAAGATTGGGGACAGGGTTGGGTGGGTGGCACGTGAGTGACTGTGAATTATCCAACCCTAGGTAAACTGGGAACAAGATGTGAAGTTGTTTCTTCAGGAGCCTGGGGTCTTTTCCCCTACCCCACCTCAGCAGTTCCAGCCAGCCGGGACTGATCAGGTGAGACTACGCTGCTTGTGGAAACAGGCCACATCTAAACGGAAGTATGCCTTAGACCGTTTGTGTCATTGTTCTTGTCCTAATATTGACCTGGTGACGGTTCAGCATCGGACAGGGGGTTTCAGAATCCCATTCACCTCCATCTGAACACAAACATACCTCCGTTCAGTCCCTGTTCTCTTCATTTCCCGTCTGTCGCTCAGCTCTGATTCCACAGACAAAGGCATTCACTCCAGCCTCTTTGTCCCTGACACTGGAGGTCAAGATGAAGAAGGAAGGGGCTGGAGAGTTGGCTCAGTGGTTAGAGTATTCGCTCTTGCAAAGGACCCGGGTTGGATTCCCAGCATACACTTGGAGAGTCACCACCTCCTCAGCCACCAGGCACGCATGTGATGTGCAGACAGACATACATGCTGGCAAAACATTCACACACACAAAATAAATAAATCTAAAAAAGAAGTTTAAGCCAGGAGGTGGTGGCGCACGCCTTTAATCCCAGCACTCGGGAGGCAGAGCCAGGCGGATCTCTGTGAGTTCGAGGCCAGCCTGGGCTACAGATCCAAGACAGCACCAAAGCTCCACAGAGAAACCCTGTCTTGAAAAAGACTTTTAAAAAGATGAAGAAGGAAAAGGAACTAGTGAGAAGGATAGTTTTTTTTTTTTCTCTCAAGTAATCCTCGTCTTCTTCAGGTGTATGCCCTGGAGCGGGGAGCAGGAGGCATGGCTGGAGAGAGTGGCCTGGAGAAAGAGGTTCAGCGCTGGACAAGCAGGGCTGCCCGGGACTTCAAGATCCAGCATCATGGGCATCGGGTGAGGTGGGGGTGCAGGTATTGGGGGTGGGCAAGAACAGCTGAGAGATGGGGAACATTGAAGCAGTCAGGAAGGGAGGGAAAGGGATTTTAACACAACGGCGTGATGCAGCAGTTAAGAGCCCAGCTTTCGGAACTAGACAGACTGGGGTTTGTGTTCTCTCCCGTGGCTTGTGAGTTCTCTAACCCTGGGTGAGGAATGATTTCATCTCTCTGGACTTGGGTTTCCTCATCCCTAAAGGGGAGCCAATAATAATACCTACCTCATAGGGAAGGTAGATGACCCAATGCAAGTGACGCAACTAGCCAAGTACCGGGCTCAGAGTAAGCTGTGGCCCACAGCATCTCCTCCACCCACCTCTGCCACCCTCACCAACCAGGTCCTGCAGCGACTGGAGCAGAAGCGTCAGCAGGCGCCAGAGCGAGAGGCCCCAGGCCTAGACCAGCGCCTCCAGGAAGTGAGGGAGAACATCCGACGGGCACAGGTGAACCACAGCCCTGGTCTAAGAGCCACCGAAATCCTGCCTCCCCAGGCAACCCACCTCCACTGTGGTGGAGAAAAGGCGGGCAGCGGAGGGTAGACACAGCTAGCCGGGATATTCTCTCTTCCTCCTCACACCAGGTGAGCCAGGTGAAAGGGGCTGCCCGGCTGGCCCTGCTACAGGAGGCTGGCCTGGATGTGCAGCGCTGGCTGAAGCCAGCCATGACCCAAGCCCAGGATGAGGTGGAGCAGGAGAGACGGCTTAGTGAGGCTCGGCTGTCCCAGAGGGACCTCTCTCCTACGGTGAGTTCCTCCTTGTCCCTAACCATGCACACCTGGGAGGCTAAAATTCCTTGTTAGAAGGCAGAGTCTCTAAAATGGGAATCACACTATCTAATTCAGAGGGTTGCCATGAGGCTTAAATGATATTGCATAGTTTCTGGCGTGGAGAATCCTCAGTACGCTTCTAATATGGTGATTAAGAACCATGGTTCTGCTGGGCGGTGGTGGTGCGTGTCTTTAATCCCAGCACTTGGGAGGCAGAGGCAGGTGGATCTCTGTGAGTTTGAGGCCAGCCTGATCTACAGAGTGAGTTCTAGGTCAGCCCAGGCTACCCTGTCTTGAAAAAAACCAAAAACCAACCAACCAACCAACCAACCAACCAACCAACCAACCAAACCATGGTTCTAGGAGCAGTCTGTAAGTTAACTGAATGCCAGCCACTTAATAGCCATGTGACCTTGGCAAATGACTTAACCTTTGTGAGCCTGAGTTTCTTCAAAAGTAGAGTGAGGTTAGTATAGCTATATAAAATAATACTGGGTTATACTGAAGCTTAAATGAAGCAGTATGTGTACATATATATATCTATGTGTATATATGGATATATATACATATATATATATATATATATATATATATATATATATATATATATATATGGTACTTCATATTAAGCACCTAATTGTTGTAATTGCTATTATTTAGTATCATCCTGCCCTATGGTGGTTTGGTTGTGAAATATGATGTTTGGTCGAGGGCTACTGTCTTGAAGGAGGATCCCCAGTGCCCCTTAGAGATAAGAGACGGGTATGGGAGATCCATGCAGTACCTGAGACAAGAGTCTGTCCTCTACCCCTTTCCAGGCTGAGGATGCTGAGCTTTCTGACTTCGATGAATGTGAGGAGGCTGGGGAGCTCTTTGAAGAGCCTGCCCCGCCAGCCCTGGCTGCCAGACCCCTCCCCTGCCCTGCACATGTGGTGTTTGGCTACCAGGTGTGAAAGGGTCTGGAAACTTGAGGTGGGCAACAGGGGTGGGGGGGGGGCAAATCTTGACTCCTTCCTTGTGGGGCTTAGGCAGGACGTGAGGACGAGCTGACTATCACAGAGGGTGAGTGGCTGGAGGTCATAGAGGAAGGAGATGCCGATGAGTGGGTGAAGGTGAGTCTGGGACCCTGGGTTGGGGGCAGTGGGAGGGCTTGTGTGTGGCTCCCAAGGACTCATCCAGGTAATGCCAGAAACTTGAGTGTTGAAGAGCCAAGGTCACGGACTGCTGAGCAAGTCTGACACCTGTTCCCATTGCTGGGTGAGCAGGCTCGGAATCAGCATGGCGAGGCGGGCTTTGTCCCCGAGCGATATCTCAACTTCCCGGATCTCTCCCTTCCTGAGAGCAGCCGTGGCAGCAGCAATCCCTCGGGAGCAGAGCCCACAGGTAAGGAAAGGAAGTTTTGGATTCAGGGACCATGGGTGTAGATACAGCTTACTGGATGGTCGTAGAGGGGCATGGCGCAACCGGCCACTGCCTTAGTTCATCTTCTCTCCCGGGCTCCTGTAGCATTCCTGGCCCGGGCCCTGTACAGCTACACTGGACAGAGTGAAGAGGAGCTAAGCTTCCCGGAAGGGGCACTCATCCGCCTGCTGCCCAGGGCTCAAGATGGCGTGGATGATGGCTTCTGGAGGGGAGAATTTGGGGGCCACGTTGGAGTCTTTCCATCCCTACTGGTAGAGGAACTGCTTGGCCCCCCAGGGCCCCCTGAACTCTCTGACCCTGAGCAGGTGAAGCTTCATTCTCCCTCAGTTCCCAAGTACCTCTGGGTTGACCCTTTCACCTCAGCAGGGCTCCATGTTAATCTTAAAGCCCTGTCTCCTCCCCAGGTTGGCCTCCTATGGTAGCTTAGGCCTCCCTGTGTGCTTTGGCTAGGAAGAGGAAATAGAAACCAAGGCACCCTTCATAGGACTTTGGGAACTTCAGGGCCGGCTAGGCCTGAGTACACATTGCTATAGCGTGACATTGGGTGGTTATTTAACTCCTCGGAGCTGCCTTCTTCATGTGTAAAATAGAAACAAGAGCTGTTTAAACGGGCTCGCTGTCATGACTAGAGATGATAGAGGTAAACTCCTTAGCCCTGTGGTACACAAGAAGTGTTTGAATTTGTGTTGCCCTGGCATGAGACAGCAGGGATCATGACAGGAGAGTCAGAACACCCCAGGTCCGGCCAGTACTCTGCCACTAAGTAACCCCGATTCTGACAGATGGCTCGATCTGAACCTCACTTCTGTAGCGGCCGTCAGAATCCATAGCTCACAGGGTGGTGGTGAAGGTTGAGTACTTTGTATATGTGCACTGTTGCCAGAATTCCTGTCTGTCGCATAACAACTAGTCGGTACATATTGGCTGTTGAAATATGTATCAGTCACGACCCTCATGTGGCTGCGTTCGGTGTTGAGAAGGAATGGGAGAGAAACAGAGTGAGAGGAAACGCAGGTTAAGCCTTCCACGGACCAGGAATGACTGATGCCTCCCCTGTCTCTAGACGCTGCCATCCCCTTCTCCTCCCAGTTTTTCCCCTCCTGCACCCACCTGTGCCTTGGAAGGATCCGCTGCACCTGCTCTGCCTGTGGGTGAGTAGAGAGAATTAGAGCCTTGGAGCCTAAGTCACGGCCCGGAAGAAGTTTGGACTCTGCCTTACCTGCTCCTGTGTGCCCTGGGGGTACCTTGCAATAAGGCCCATGGCATATTGATGGGGAGGAGAGCTTGGATTTGGAGCCAGGTTCAAAGTCCTCTATCCCTTTCTATTGTACGACTTGAGGTGGAAGGCTTAACCTGTCTGGTCCTTGGTCTAGGTTTTCTGTTGTTACGTTTTAGTCTTTGGAGATAGGGCTAGCCTTAAGCTAGCACTTCCCCTGCCCCAGCCTCCCGCCCCCCCCCCCCATGTGTTGAGATTAGAAGTATCAGTCACTAGCCTAGCTTCGTTTATACTCTTTATAAAGTGAAGGGAAAGGCACTGCTTTATTGAATTGTTATCAGGGGCTGGAGAGATGGCTCAGTGGTTAAGAGCACTTGTTGCTCTTGCAGAGGACCCGAATTTGATTCCCAGCACTCGCATGCGAGCTCACAACCATCAGTAACTCCAGTCCCAAGGGGTCTGACACACTCCTCTGATCCCAGTGAGCACCAGCCAATTGCATGTGGCACACAGGCATACATGCAAGCAAAACACTCATACATGTAAGAAGAAAAAGTAAACCAAGATGTCTGTGAAGAGTATACAATATTGCTGGGGGGTGGTGGCGTCTACCTTTAATCCCAGCACCTCGGGAGGCAGAGGCAGGTGGATCTCTGTGAGTCCGAGGCCAGCCTGATCTACAAAGTGAGTTCTAGGACAGAGAAACCCTGTCTTGAAAAACCAAAAAAAGAAGGAGGAGGAGAAGGAGAAGATACAACATTGTGATTGGCATATAGGAAACATGGCTGTTTTAGATCATCATTATCTTTAAAATTATCTATCTTTTCTCATGGCATTTTTACATTCTCCCAAAATGTACCTTTTCCTCTTAGTGTCCTTGAACTCTGAAATATAATACTTACCTTTGGATTCATTTCTCTCTCTAATTTTGGGGGTGCTGGGGATCAAACTAGGGTCTTGTTTATGCTAGGCAAGCATATCTACCCCTAAGTTATGTCCGTGGCCCTCTAGTTTTCACCATGAAATACTCAGCTTTTCTGATGCATTCTGGTATGTCCACCCTCTCCAAGTCAGGCTCCCTGACTCTAGAGTCACTGTCATCTCTTCCAACACCCCTACTTCACTTTGAATAAGTTAGGACTTAGGCATTCTCTCCTCTGTCTCTCTGTCTGTCTCTCTGTCTGTCTGTCTCTGTCTCTGTGTCTCTGTGGTATTCTCAATAGCTATTTTAAGGGGAGCTTTGTACTCCAGTACTCCATCTCCTTTCTTTGGTACTTTGTACAGAGCAGTTGTACATTAAGTATTTGAGGATGGATGGACTAATGGATTTTTTTTTTTTGCTAAGTCAACAAGTATTTATAAAGTGTCACTATCCTTAGTGCTGGAGATGCAGCATGGAGCCCAACAATGCTTGAGAATTGACTTTTGGTTTCTATTTCTAGACAAAGTCCTAGACTGCCCAGGACCCCTGGACATGATGGTGCCTCGACTCAGGCCGGTAAGGGCCTCTGTCTTGGAGAAGATTGTACAGAAGGGTCATTCCTTTGGGTCCTGTTTTGTTTGCTGGGCAGAGGTAATGGACAGGGATAGTCCCACGAGGGACTCTGGAGCACTAATTATGTATATCCCCTACAGATGCGTCCACCACCTCCTCCACCAGCCAAAGCCCCGGATCCTGGCCATCCAGATCCCCTCACCTGAAGGCCAGGGGGTCACTGTCCCCCACCGATGCTGCTGCCCCTATCTCCGTGCTGACAGAAACCACCCCCTCAATGATCTGGAGCGACACAGGCAAAAGCTGCAATCTTCTCCCATGTCCACTCTCAACCTCCAGGGGTAGAAACTTACCCTGCTCCCATTTCTGGGATTTGAACCCACTCCTTTCCTCCACTGTTCCCCCGTCATCTCTGGGCCGGAACTACCCCTTTGACTTTTTGCCATCACCCCATATCTAGGGTGGTAAAACATCCCCAAATCTCTGGGGCTGGAACTCATTCCTTAAAGCCTTGTATGGCTCTGGCTCATCTCTGTCTTCACCCTGCCTCTGTGGCCAAGCCCACCCTGAATGCCAGGGTCACTAGGCCTGGAGCCGGGAGAGGAGCAGATCTTAGAAGTCAGAAGGAGCTGAAGCCAGGATGCAAAGCAACTGTAATGGTCTGAGCGGATTTATTGACAGTGAATAAAGGGCATGAAGTCCAAGCCAGGGCCTGGGCCTCTTGTGCCAAGAGGGCAGGGAGCCTAAGGTGCTATTGCTTTAGGGGCCCGCCAAGGGTCGGGCCTGGTCCCAGCTGCCACGCTCTTGCATGTGGAGCGAGGTTTTGGGGAAGGCAGGCCAGGCAACCCGTTGGCAGGTAGGGAAAGGAAAACAGTGAGGGGTTGGGAGTGGGGAGGGGCTCCTCCTGAGGTCCCTCAGCCTGGGACCACGTAACTCCGGAGAGAAGTAGAGCTGGTCCCTCAACTGAGGAGCAGTGCTGTCCCGGGGAGGGGAGAGCCTTCATGGCTATCCATACCCTGGCAATGCCTGCTGGTAACCCATCAGCACAGTGAAGACTGAGGCTTGGAAGAAAGGAAGGGGGAACAGTGTTGCTCTGATCCACTTCTTCTCCAGAGAGTGTATATCTAGCTCCTGCAGGAGCTCTATGCCCACTCCCACTCCCCACCGCCAGCCAAGGAATCTAGAACATACACTAAGCTTAGAGTTCACCCCAGGGGTTCAGGGAGTTGATGGGCTTGGGTGGTTTAGGTAGAGGGTGGGAAGATGAGATTACCTGATCTCAAGCTCAGGGAGACTCGCCTCACACACCCCCTTCTTCTGGTGGTAGAGATTCCTGAGAGAAAGGGAAGTATTCGGTGGGAACAGGAGGTGGATCACCAATGTTGCCCAGATTAGGGACAGTAAGATGTGTCCACCACTGCCCAATGTAGCCCTGGCCATGTCTTCATACCTGCTGACCTGAGGTGTCCAGTTTGGTTGGCTGTCCGTTTGCCTCCTGAGTAGGCAGCCCTAGGCTTGGGCCTCTTCCTCTAGTGCCCAAGTTCAGTTCTGCAGAGGTTGCAGGGTTTCCCTCAAGTGTACTAGGGACTAGGCTGTCATCTTTGAGTCCTCCGTTCTGCACTGGGTGGGTGGCTACGGCCTGGGAGGGTGGTGGCTCAGGGAGCAGCCTCTCAGTGGCAGCTGTCCCTGTCCTAGGCTGCCCTCCCCCAGCCACCTGACTGGCCCCTGCTTCCTGCCCCCCACCAGAGCCCCAGCTTCTGTCTGTAGGGGAACCATCACGATGTTCGTGTAGGCCATAGCGCTTCTCAATGTGTGTCACTCGGAATCTGGGCGGGAAGAGAACATTGCAGTTTAGGACTACAGCTCAAAGGTCACCTAAACCTCCCTCCCTGGGGTTGATGGCAAATTCTCTGGCCTGGTGTAGGGAGGCCTTCTGAGACTGTGGGACACTCTGCAGTTTGACCCCTGCTGCAGTCGCTCAGTCATTCAGAGGAAAGAATTGGGCTCCACCTTTGGGGGGACAGGATTATTGGGCACCAACTCAACCTCCCTTTTCTTGAACCACTGTGTCCCCACCTGCCCACTGAGAAAACAGTGGTCTCTCCGGGCCGGGGGCGGCCTTTTCCTTCCTTAGAGCGACCCTGACGGACAAGTGGGGGCCTCTTGTTGCGGCTACAGTGGATGCAAGGAGCTGCAGAGCCAAGATGCACTGTGTGATGATGGGAAGGGGCTCCATCCTGCAGGCTGGAGGTGGCATCCACACTGGACCACAGGAAGAAAGGGAGCAGAAAGGATATTTTCATTCTCCTTCCTGCCATTTCCTTCTGTCCTTTCAATATGCTCTTTAATCCTCCCCAAACCCCACCTTTCCCAGGTTCCGACATCCTTTTGTCTTTAGTAAAATTCAACGCTAAGACATGAGTGGTCATGTAGTCTTCCTTTCCACCCTGTTTACTAAAGAGGGCAATGCTCAACCCAAGAAAGTGACACCAGAGATGTTAGGCTGGATGGTATCTAGATGGGAGATAAAGGATAAAGGGTTTCTATAGACTTCCATAGGTTAGCTAGCCCTGTCTACCTGACCCCCACCCCCAAACTCCCATGGTCCTTTGGAAGACTGTATTGGAGGAGAGGGGACGCCAAGGTAAGATAAGTCATGCTGGCCCTTGTTTCCAGCTCACCTGGAGAGCTGTACTGTCCCTTCTCCTTCACTGTCCCCTAGCATCTCCTTCAAGGCCTCAGCATTGGCTGATGGGAGAGGGAGATGGAGTCAGCCGAGGTGGAGGTCAGGGCAAGAGAAAGTCAGTTTGGGAAGGAGCAAGCTTTTGGCCTAGACCCACCTTCATTTTGGATGATGCAGCGAACAATCCTCTCTACTGTGTCCTCATTCACGTCATCGTCTTCAGCTGAAAGATGAAAGAGGTTGGCAAGGATGTGGGAAATGAGTCAGCTTTGGGGGAATATGACCTGATGGCCCCATGGGTGATGACTGAAGACATATCCCTTTACCTATGTGCCTTCATGCATCAGGCCCGAAAAGGTAGGAGAAGACATGGGCTCCTAGGGCTACCATGAGTGGACCCCCTTCTCTAGCCTCAATTTCGGGGTGGTGTCACTTTTACATGCAGACTCAAAAAAGCATCATAGTCTTTTGGGCTTCATTAGGATTTGGGCTGGGTCTGTCGGCCAGGGAGGCAGAAAAAAGTTTGGGGAGAAGAATAAGAGAGAAAGGTGCCTTAATTAGGGTTCTAGGCTCCTCACTCACGGGGCTGGAGCTGGGCATCATCAGGCTCTGAGCCCCTAGACGTGCGGCAGCGGTAGCCTTTCTTCTTGAGCACGTGGCAGATCATGAAGCCTACAAGGCCCATGAGGAAGAAGACCAGCACAAGCAGGAAGAGCATGTACAGCCCATGTTGGGGCGGCTCCAGGTCAGGCTGTGGTTCCGACATGAGGCCCTGGGGGGCGAGCGCGGGCCAGGGCGCCTCCTGGGTTTAGTGGGCTGCAGCTGGGTACCCGCAGAGTAAGAAGGCATCTTAGGATCCGCAATAGGAGATCCGCCCCACCCCCCCAACCGAACCAAGGAGCTGTCCGGACTAAGGGTGCTAGTCGGCCAAGACCGCCGCAGGCTGGAGGCAAAAGCCCTCTGCGGCGACCCAGTCCCACTTTTCTGACATCCAGAAAGCTATCCTTTACAGCTCATCCCGAGCCCCCGTCCCTTCCAAGGACACTGCAGCACAAGATGGGACGAAATTCTCAGAGAGCGAGCCCAGAAAGCACGCTTGAGTCAGTGTTGATACCTCCTCTACACCGGCCTGAGCCCGGCCTCGTGCAGCCCCCTCCCCTCCCTGCATTCCTGGGTCCCTTCTTTTCGGGTTTATCCCACCCTGACCACCTGGTCCACCCGGTACCGGTGATTTGGTTCTGTCTCCGGCTCCGGCTCCGGCTCGGGTCCCGGTTCCAGGGGCGTCCTCGTCCGGCTCAGGGCCCCCGACGCCCTCCCGGAGCTCATCCCTTGCTTCCTCCCCCTCCCCCCTTTGCCGCCTCACCGGCTCCGGGCTGGTGGCTGCGGATACCGGTGCCGCGGCAGACGGGGGGAGGGAAGGATGGAGAAGGATGTGGGCCGGTTGGGAGCCGCGGCAGGCTCTGGACCGCTCCTGTCCGGGAAATGGAGGGGATGGCGGGGGGTGGGGTGGGGGGGCGCCTCTGAAACTGTCCTGGGTTCCCAAATGCCTTCTCGCGCCGCGGGCCCAGGACCAAGAGGCGGAGCACAGGTGTGCGGGGCGGAGAGCGTGAGCCTTACGCGTGTGTGAACGCAAGTGAGATGTGCGCGTGACTGCGCCGCCCCCCTCTTCCCCAGGAGGACTGTGCGGCGCGAGCCTGGATCCTCGTGGGTGGTCGGGAGGTCAGGAGGGGCTTTGGCCACCGGTCTAGCCCTCACATCTGGCACAGGTCTTGCCCTCAGATTCCCCGGATGAGTAGAAAGCCAGCAATCTTCCTAGCGCACTGGGAAAATCTGTCTTTCTGCACCTGAGAGGGGCAGGGTGGCCAGATCTTCCAAGGTTCCTAGAGAGGGACCACTGTCCCAAGACCCATCTGGGGCTAGCGGCTGGACGGGATGACTCGGTTTCCCGAGGATATGACCCTGGCCCAGAAAGAAACGGCCCTATAATCCCTATGACTAATGCCACGGGTCCCCGCCCAAGCGCGGAGTCTCAAGCCTCAGAATCCGGACCAGGACAGCAAAGCAGGGGGCCGAACTCCCATTAAGGGGCGGAACACCCATAGGGGGCGTGGCCTGACGTGATCTCGGGAGGCGGGGCCGAGGTCTCCTTTCCGCAGAGGTAGGCTGCGTGCTTGCGCAGCACGCACGCCGGGGGTGGGGCTGGCGGCCGGCGGCGGGCGGGCGGCTGAGGCTCGGGGCCTGGTCCCCCGGCACCATGGCCAAGACCGTGGCGTATTTCTACGACCCCGACGTGGGCAACTTCCACTACGGTAGGGCACAGGGTTGTGCGGGAGGAGAGGTTTCGTGGGAAGGGCTGCAACTCTAGGGGTGGGAACTGACCAACTCTTTCTTTCCCTACCCCCAGGAGCTGGGCACCCGATGAAGCCCCATCGCCTGGCATTGACTCATAGCCTAGTCCTGCATTATGGTCTCTATAAGAAGATGATCGTGAGTCCTGCCACTTCTCTGGGGGTTTGGGCCTGGGAGCGAGCTGCGGCCTTAGGCTAGGTGGGCTGGACATAACCAGGTGCAACCTACCCCAAGGGGGGGGTGCAGCATAGAAGGCACCGGGGACATTGCCTGTGTGCATGGCAGTGGTGGTGGTGGTACTGAGTGGAGGTGTCCCCCGGCTTAATGGGAGATACATTTTTGACCTTAGGTGGGACTCCTTTTTAACTTGACGGCAAACCAGCCCGTGGCTGGGGGGACACTTTGAAGACAGGTTTATTCCTTCACCTCATTTTATTTTATTTACGTGTTAGTGGATCGAACCCAGGGTTTCACACATGTTGAGTGTTTTGCCACTGAAATACACGTCTAGCCTCTCTGCCTTGTACAGTGGATAGTAGGGCAGGACTGAGGATGAGGGTTGGGAGTATATTTTCTAGTGAGATTTCCCCATAATTCCTGCTCCTTTTCCTCTGTCCATTTACCCGAAAGGAGCTAGGATAACTCTTGGAGACAACTCTGCACTTCTTTGTGGTGTACATGTGTAGAGAATATGTTCTGAGATTTTTTTTTTTTTTTTTTTTTTTTTGAGACAGGGTTTCTCTGTGTAGCCCTGGCTGTCCTGGAACTCACTCTGTAGACCAGGCTGGTCTTGAACTCAGAGATCCTCCTGCCTCTGATTCCTGAGTGCTAGGATTAAAGGTGTGCACCACCACCATCTGGCGGGAATTTACTTTTTAATATAGAATGTGGGGTTGGGGATTTAGCTCAGTGGTAGAGCACTTGCCTAGCAAGTGCAAGGTCCTGGGTTCCGTCCTCAGCTCCAGAAAAACAAAACAAAACAAAACAAAACAAAACCAAAATAATAGAATGTATCTACATGGTTCTGCTCAACTCTCCATCTCCCATATTATACAGGTACTGTTTCTCCCCAGCTTGGAATTTCTAGCTGTGAAATGGGAAACTAGCAAGCCCGGCCCTTACGTACCATGAAGATATTCAACATGTAATCAGAGTGTGTGGGCACAGGCAGTGGTTTGGGTATAGAAAAGACTGAGGTGGTATTAGTGTGAGTCTATGAATCCCCTAAAATTGTCTGTGAGTCCTTTTTCTAGGAGAGAAAAAAGTGTTTCCTGTGCAATTTTCAAACCATTGTTTGAACCGCCACCTCTACCCCCACCAAGGATAACCAATCTTTGGTTTAGGACTTTGGATTTCAGCTAGATTGTCATATACCTCAGATTTGATCCCATGAAAAACCCAGAGAAGAGAACAGAATCTGGGTTTAAGAGAGGAGATAAGTATAGAGGGAACCAGGAAAGCTAGGAACGGGCATGTGGGCCAGGAGAAGTGGGCTGAGATGATAGGGAGACTGGGCTGGGGGAGGGATGAGATGGAGTGATCTTCAAGGGTCTTGAGAAAAGCAGCTTGCCTAGCTAATAGCATCCCATCTTCACTCCTAGAGTTCTCACAGAGTAACAAGGAATGGGGGTAGGAAGGTTGTTTTTTATGTTTGGGACAGCCTCCAGGGCTGGGCTCAATGTGAGTGGGCTCAGCCCGAGGACTGGCATAGCACGGCCTGGATTTGGTATCAGGTTTTTCATCTAAACTACCCCCCACCCCCACCCCTCCCTCCTGGAATTGTGAAACCAGTAACAAGACCACGTGTCAAATGAGCAGTGAAAGGGACTTTCATTCTTGGCCAAGAATATAAGTGGGAGACAAACCTCTCACCTCTTAGGAATCAAGAGGTGATCATAGGGGTTGGAGTGATGGTTCAGAGGGCTCAGGTCCCTGCTTCCAAGCCTGATGACCTGAGTCTGAACCCTGAAACCCACATGGTGAGGGGAGAGAATTGACATCTAAGTTTTCCCTGGCTTCACTGTGGCGTGTATACCCACCTACCCCACCCCATCCACACACACACACACACACACACACACACACACACACACATACACACACACACACACACACGTAATATAATTTTAATTAAAAAATAATTTATAGATATAGAGTAAAAAATGAAGTTAGAGAAATAGACATGAGAAAAGGGATAGTCATATATATGTGTATATATATATGCATATATATATTATTATTATTTTTTTTTCTGAGACTGGGCAGAAAATTTCTGGGAATTCAGGCACTCTCTTCTCTCCTTTTTTTGCTTTCCAGTTGTTTCCATGGCAGTTGTCACCTGCCATGGCATTGGGAGTATCATTCCGTGTTTACGAGGAATGATAATTAAGTGAGGTCTTGTCTAGTTGGTCCCTCTTGGGCCGGTCCTGTTTTGGCTAGTCCACCTAGGAGGAATTCCTGCCCTGTAGGTATCCTGCCTTCAAAGATAAGATTAAGGCCGTATAGAAATTCCGCTAGTACTCAGGCGGTGCTCAGGTAACAACTTCAGCTTCTGTCTTCCATCCCCAGGTCTTCAAGCCCTATCAGGCCTCCCAGCACGACATGTGCCGCTTCCACTCGGAGGACTACATCGACTTCCTGCAGAGAGTGAGCCCCACCAATATGCAGGGTTTCACCAAGAGCCTTAACGCCTTCAACGTGGGTGATGACTGGTGAGGGAAGCACGGGATTTTGTTGTCCAGCACCGTGAGGCCGGGCTCTTCATGCAGGCTTATGTGTGGCAGCAGTGGAAGGCGCCTACTAGTCAATGAATTATCGTTCACTCATTTGATGGTTCAGTCAATATTTACCAGTCAGCTGAGCGGTGGCGGCGCACTCCTTTTAATCCCAGCACTCAGGAGGCTCGGAGGCAGGCGGATCTCTGTGAGTTTGAGGCCAGCCTGGTCTACAGAGTGAGTTCCAGGATAGCCAGGGCTACACACAGAGAAACCCTGTCTTAAAAAAAACAAAAACAAACAAAATGCCTACTAGACATTAGCTCTATCTAGACCAGGCCCTGTGCTAAGTATGAAGGATACAGTGCCGAAGAAAAATGACCAAATTTTAATATTGTACCTATTGTATTATTTGCTAAGTAAGTCTTGTGGAGAAATACATGACTGACTTGTAAGTGTGTATATGTGAATTACCTAGCTTTAGGGCAGGGCTGGTCTTAGATGAAATAATAGAGATTGAGTTGAGGTCTGAAAGATGACTGGAGGCTGACAGGAGAGATGTGGTGGGTCGGAGGGACAACATGTGCTATGAGGCTGTGGGAGGGCGGAATACGACTTCTCTGGGGAGTAGCAGAAGGGCCGTTGAGAACCTGAAGAGAACAGTGGTCTGAATGGAGGCTCAGGCGATGAGTGGGCCTTTTTAAAGTATGAAGCCTGAGATGGCTCACATACGTAATCCTGGCACTTAGGAGGCAGAGGCAAGAGAGCTGCTAGTTGAGGGCTAGCCTGCGCTATGCAGTGAGACCCTGTTTTTGTTTGTTTGTTTTTAAAAGTAAGCAGTTACATTGTAAATCAGTGATTTTATTCCTGTAATAGATGAAGGTCATTAAAACCAACCAGGGAACGACAGGACTAGTTTTTAATTAAAAAAAAAAAAATTTTTTTTTTAATGATACTAGGAATTGAATCCAGTCCTTCGTGCTGTGACTCAGGGTTTCTGTTGATAAGCTACATCCCTAATTAGATCAGGTTGACACTGAGCTTGTATTGTAGGCAGAAGACTCAGGCCTGGGACTCTAGAGAATGGGCAACTCTGGGGTATGTTAATAAAAGATAATAAACATAGCAGCTACGGAGTACTCAATCCTGTTTGTTTTGTTTTCTTAGTTATTTATTTACCTGTGAGACAAGGACATCACTATCTAGCCTTGGCTGGTTTGGAACTCACTATGTAGACCAGGCTGGCTTCAAACTCACAGAGATCCACCTGCCTCTCCTGTTCTTTGATTAAAGGCATACACCACCATAGTGGATACTGTTTAAAAATTTTCATTAAAATTTACAATATTCTTGAAAGTAGACTAGAATAGTGAATCTGTGTACATTCTTTACCCAGCTTCCACACTTAGAAGTCAATGACTACTCTTTTTTTCTTTTTCCCGGTGAGACAGGCCTCATTATTTAGTAAATGC